TTTTGATGTTTATCGACTATAGCACAATATTATGTTAATAATATAAAATTCTCATTATTTCCAGTATTATATTTACTCGAAATACATATTATTATCTAATATTATATTATTATTATTATTATTATTATTATTATTATACGCATTTTTGCTTTCGTCACACATTTAATACAATACAAAGATATTGACTGTACTTGCATTATACATTTCGAAACAGCCACATACGTATTATAATATTTTATTTCAATCGCATTTTGCAGAGTAACACCGCAATTACATATTATCATGTTTAATAATATATACCTATATTTAAATTTAATGCATAAGTATAATAACAATATAAATATATCGGTGTGTATTGTATATTTGTTGACAATTATTGTAGAAAATACGTCACTGGAAAAAAAATTCACACGAACGTAAACGACTTTTTTTTCGCCGGGGCTCATTAATGTTATTGTGAGAAAATAAAATTTATTGCGAAATGGACACGAAAACGAGCAATTTTTCCGGTGAAGACGCCACTTATTAGAATATTAAATTACTATATATTATTATAAACAACACATTGCGAAAAAAAATACTTATTCTAACGTTGAGTATAATATGATTATATATTATTATAATATTATGCGCGTCATACGTATTATAATATCATATCATACACGACGTACCATACGTACTTAGATACCTACTATACCTACAACCATACTATCTATATCTAATTGTAATAACCATTTTTCGTGTGCGGTCGATTACGCGAATTGATATAATATGCTAGTAGGAATTCCTATCAATAGGAGAAGCTTTAGTAAAATGATTGAAAAAACAATTCGAAATCAAATCCATGGTAATTGGATTGTATTTTTTTTTTAAATCTATAGAACTAAAAAATACGTATTTTTGGACTAATATCGAGTACAAAGTTATAGGTACCTACATAATATAATACTCGTGTATTGATTTACTGACTACAGGGCTAATCAAATATTTGTATAACAGAGATAGTTGATTGAATTCACGTCAAAAACTCCGTACAATAATTTGATAACAATTACTAGTGACACTTATACACTCATAAATTACGATATATATTTTCGATACTCAGATCTTCACAGACATTGTAGTTTAGATTTTGAGCGAAACAATGAATGTATTGATTTACAATGTGTTTTTGTTATTATTAATTTTTTAACTGCCATACATTTTTGAGGTTTTAAACTTTGAGGGCATGATTTTTAGTAGACAATTTATTTGATACATTAGAGGATCAAAAACAAAATTAAGGAAACACAGACATTTTTATGAAAAAAACGATTTTTAATAAAATTTATGTTGTGTTTTGACGTGCAATCGAAAAATAAATTACCATAAAATCTTGAAATCTTTACCAGTTATTTATGATATTATTTCCTACATTTAGTATAATTTTCAAAATATTTTGTCTCTTGGACCTATTTATAAATATTTAAAATTTAAAAAGTTTATTTGTTTTTTTTTTCTAAAAATGTTGATCTAAAATTATTTTTTAGATTAAAATTTGAAAAGGTTTATCATACGTTGTTCATTTACCAATTCAAAAAATATAATTAAAGATCATTGAAGTTTTTAATCAAATTTTAAAATTTACGTTTTTTTTAAAAAAAAAAATTATTATTGTCGGTAAAAAGTTGTTTGCTGAGTCAAAATTCTTGAAAATGTAATATAAGATCCCACAAATTTTTTTTATATGCATAAAAATATTAAAAAATACATAGATACAATTTTTTTTTTAAAATAATATGCATTTGAAGTTCAAATTATTTTTACCAAACTACAAGTATTTTTTAGTTAAAAATGTATAAAATCTTCTATTTATAAAGCGAATGTTTATAAATATAATACAATGTCTCTTATGAGTATCTTATATAGTAATCTGGAACAAAAAATGTACAATCACAATTATTTTTTTATAGATATTTGTAGTTCTGATTTGGACTAATCAACGTATTTCAACGGTGAAATATATTATAATGTACATTATTTTTTTTTATTTTAGTTCAAAAAAAATTATTTAATGAATTTTTACTATAGGTACCTACGCACTGATATAGGCGACTTTGACAGGTCGTCTCCGTTCAGAATCGTTTTTCGTTTACAATTATATATGATTGAATTCATATTTAACCAATTCGAATCAGTGATGTACCTATGTATATAGTTGGTCGTTGCCCATTTTCCTGCCTTTTTTGTTGTTATTGAAATTTCGCTGTATTACACTGTATATAGTATATACGTACATCTATATTGTGATATGTTTAAAATATATCTTATAAAAAAAACTTCGACCATGTATGACTTCTCCGATGATTTGTCCGAATAAATTTGTAGTCGATGGATTTTCTATCACGAGTTAGTCTCTCCGACTTTGCCTTTTGGATTTTTTTTTTCGTCGGGTTGAAACGCGTACATACTCTCACGCGAATAATTATTATTAATATAACTGAAGTTACAAGCCGAACGCCGCTTTATAAATCACGTATTTATAATTAACCCACTATGTCATCCGTGGACCGTGACGTGTTTTCATTTAGTATATACAGCTATATCATTTAATACCATAATAATAATAATAATAATAATAAGGGTGTTTGTGCGAGTAGCTTTCTCTTTCCTCACTCTCACTCACTCTCTCTCAGTTTTTATTCTCGGGTTTCGCTCGTCGTGTGTCGCTATTATATATAGTTACATTTTTGCCCCTTAATTAGGTATAAGCGTAGGATGTTAAAATCGTATTGCGAATGCGCCTCGATAATAAATATTTTGATTTACGTCGCATTTTCGTATAAAAAACAATACATATTACATATACCTAATCACAAGCCTTATAACAAATATCAGAGTATGTTGAATATGTGATACAAAATTAAACACCAAACAATAGAATCGCTGGGGTTAAACATTTGAAAAAAAAAATGAATTTTTATAGAATTTTAATATATTTACAATGTACACGTATATTGTATAATAAATTGAAATAATTGTGTGTGTTTATATTGTATTGCATATCTTATGAAAATATTAATTTTTTTCGTATATCAATGATTGTTGTAAAAATTAATCTACCTTTATGTGTTTTAATTTACAAATGTTTAAATTGTATCATCATTAATCATAAGTTGAAATTTTCTACATAATTTTAAAATTAAAAAATATCCCTTTAGAATTAAAAAAACACAATATGCACTATAAACTTTTAATGTTTTTTTTAAGTATTCAAAAAATTAATTTTGGCTTACATAGTAATAAATTTAAGAGCCTCCAAAAAAATTTGTAGATGCAATTTAATAATACATGAAAATAACTTTGTCGCAATCGTTCATATGAGTACTTAATTATCGAACTACACTATTTATACCTAAATGGCTAAACCAAAATGTTTGAATTGCACTCAAGTTAAAAATCGGTATTATTTTCGAATTGCACTCGATCCGTTCATTCCGTAGAACTCATAAATATTCATTTTGGTTGAATACATGAAATTTGAATGTCGTACTATTTGTATGATTTAGTATTACGATTACGTTATTACACAACATAACTAATTCCTGATTTAAAAGTAAGTGTAAATATTTATTAAATTGCATATATATATAATTTTATATTATTATTTTGAAATCATAACTATGAAGGTAGTATCGACTTATTGACTTTGAAAATATTAAATAATTACTCATTTTATATTAATGTTCATTATTTATTGAAAAGTGAATATACTTTAATAATATTGCTTTTAAATTATAGCTTATCAAATTAATATTAAAAACAAAAAAATCCTCTTCTAACCATTGAATAATAATTTTTATTATTCATCAATAATTAAATTTATGAAATATGAAATATTTAAAATGAGTGCAATTTGAAATTATTTGTTGGTATGATATCAATAAATGACAATGAACTCAGTGCAATTTGCCTATAACAACTATTATAAATCCTTTTAAATATTTGTAATAAAATTTAATTACCCAAGAGTGACGAAAATTATCGAAGTTCTTATAGTTTATATAAAATGTGTAATTATTTAGAATAATACGATTGTTATTATTCATTTATTTTTGAACATTGGACGTTATCGATTAATTCGTACTACCACTTTTTATTCAGTTCAAAGTGCCAAAATCGAACAAAATAAAACTATTATCACGATTTATTGTCGATTACACTGTGATATTAAATAATGCATTAGATTTTGCAGTGTAGAATTAAACTTTGCTGCAAGCAGCGGAGATGCACGCTTAATCGCTGTGTCTATTAACACCAACGTTTTTCACAATATTTTTTATTTTTCTACACGCGATTATTGATGTTATCGATATTCAAAGTCTTATTCTCTAACTGCAGTAAACGGCTTAACATTTGTACATTACTATTATTATTTATTACAGTACAAAAGAATAACTATTTTCTGTTGCGTTTTCGCACACACGTTTCATCCAATTATCAATAATTTAATATAGCTATATTCAAGGTCGTAATTGTGGAGAGGGAGTTCATCTCCCGAAACTCTTATAAAAAATATATCAATTTTAAATGTAAATGTTGGAAATTTTAACAAGAATTATTCTGTTTCTTTGTTAAAATATTGAACTTCCCTATACCACTCATGAAATTTATTTTCAATTATTGTCTTAATTATTCTCTGATACTCAGTCGAATTCTACGCAAACTCACTCTATCGAACTTTCTTGATTTATATTATAATTCAAGTTGTTCAAGTTATGGTATCAACGATAAAATATCATCCATCCATATTATATTATACGTATACAATTATTGCGATTCTTCATTTTTTTTTTTTCAATGAAAAAGTTGTTAGGTCTTATTGATGAAAAATTTTGGAATTTTATTTCGAGAACAATAAACACACACGCACAAATATATATTTATATATATATATATATCTATTATAGATTAATATATTAGTTTTTATTAAGTAAAAGATAATTTTCATTTGACGTCCATACAGGCAGTTAATTATTTTGCAATTAGCTGTAAATAAAATCACTCAAAATAAGTGACGAATAACATGAATAATAATAATAATTATAAGCAAAAAAACATTCCCCATATATCTAAGTCTGACTACACATTATTAGGATTATTTTAGTGTTGTTATAATATGTGCTTGGCATTTTCACAAGGAATTCGCGTTTGGAGAGTTGGCTATGGAGCGCTTCGCCGGCGCACAGCAATAGAACTGATCGTTGCACACGAAGTTATACATGTCAACCAAAAAAATGGTTTTGGCGTCCAGTTGTTGGCAGTTGTACGGCAAATCGAAGTCATGTTTCCTAGTCAAGTCGTTGATGTCGCTTGGGTGTAAGTACGGCCAGTATTCCACCATGTTCACTTGATCCTGAATGATAAAAACGTTAGTCAATATGTCTGGTTTTATATACGTAATTATATTCAACGTGACAAAAAAAAAAAAAAAAAAAAAAACAATTTTGTTTTTAGAAATAACAAGCTACAACACCGATTTAATAATTAAATTCAAATTAATATATATTTTCGACCTAGTCCATTTCTATGCGTCACTGCGTTAGAGTATGTATATCGATAATAGAAAACACGCAACGATTGTAACTTTATTCAGCATAGAAATCAAACTTAAAATATAAATCACTGATACATTACTGCCTGTACCTATTAAATTGTAATTTACGAGTATCTATTTTTTAACCGAGTCTTGGTGCGATAGAACACTTTGGCTTAGATAAATATAGCTTTTAAACTATTATGTGTCACTGATGTTATATTCTACATAATATGTATACGTTAAGTTATACATAGTATTATGAACTATAACATAATATAGGTAAAAGATTTAAATTAATTTTAACGATTTCGATAAACATTGTTCGCAAGTTACAACAAACCTATGCTTGAGTAATGTATAGAAATATTTTAAGAGAACACTCACAATGCCGTAGAGCTATATATATATATATATATATATATATATATATTATTATTATTAATAATTATTGTTCAGATGATAGAACTGTGACGATAGCTATACAAATATCGTCTCGATCTCGCGATTGTTTATGTAAGTATACTCACTTTACTCAAAGATCTTTTGGGTGATTCTTGAATATCGTTATTCCTACGACCGATCCTGGGCACCGACTTCGATGCCTTCAAAAAAAATTCCTCTCCTGCGAACCCACGGCGAATAATCTTTGGGTACACACTTGCGTCCTTCATTATAACGTCACTGGCCGTTTCGAACTGATCACTGCGTTCGATCCTGGATGCGGACTGTCTGTCGTCCATGTCCGTCAACCAAATATTTTGTACTTTTTTCTCTGGGTATTGGTTGATCGACATTACGCGCAGTATTTGCAAACACACCAAACCTACAAAAGTGCAGGCAATATAGGTTTGATTAGATTTGTAAATATTATTTAATATGCTTGTCATTATTATTATTATTATTATTATTATTTATAGCATAATATTGTAATTTTAGACAGTACCATCGTTAAGGTAATTCGTGTAGCAAAAATTGTAAATACCGATACAAAAGTTAATACCTAGTATGTACCTAAATAAATTACGTTTCGAACGAGGTCATTGTGGAAATAGTTTTATAGATGTTTGGAGAATTGTCGGGAAAAAATTTTGCTCAGGACTTTTAAGTGAGTAAAACATAAAATGTGTTACAAAATACTAGAAAAATGTAGAAACACATTTTTTTTTTTTTTTTTTTGGTTTGCGTAAGAATAAGCCATTAAAAAAGAAAAGAAAAAAAAACAATTAAAATATATGAATAATAATAATTTTACTTTGATTTATAAACCGTTTTACTCGAATGATTGATTCGTAATCTAGCTAGCTGTTATGATAAATAACTAAATGTTATAAGATTATCTATCGATAAACATAAAATTAAAACACATTTATATAACTTTTTATTCATATTATTATGATTTATATGGTCATGTCCTCATTAAATTATAATAATGTATAATTATAATCACACGCGAACGTCGCGAACGCAAGTATGTTTTGATACTTAAAATGTCTTATAAATGTATATATTATGATATTTATTCGTATTTTTTATTTTATGTGTCTGAAATGATCTCGTTTGACAACAGATGATTTTTTTTTTTTAATGTATGATGATATAATGATAATAATTTAATTATTTGTACCTAATTAATTGATTTTAATTATTACTTAATAGCATATTTCGTATTGCATAATCTATCAATAATAAATACGTGAGAATATATTTTTAATAAAGTTTGCTTACTAAAATGAACAATATCTTTTGATTTTAGGATGAACAATTATTCCAATAATTATTAAATGTTTAACATTAATCGTATTATTATATTATTATCCTATTAATAAAGCGAACAGCATAACATTGCACGTAAATAACGAGAAGTATTTAGATGAAATATTTTAATTTATAATAATTGCTGATTTCTTAGTAAACTATTATTATAAAAAGTTTTTGTTGTTTTTGCCCTTCAAACAACAGTTATTTATTCGCCAATACCATTATAATGACGTGCACGCGTATTCTTTCATTTTTATGTAACTCTTTGATGTCTTATTATTATCTAATGTATTTTAGTGTATTTTTATGTATTGTTCTTAATAAAAACTTATTTTTGTTTTATTATAATATACATACAAAATTGTTACTTATATGCGCAAACCTATGATTTCCATAACAACTTTTAGAGCAATTGACAGTTGTCACATATTTATTATTAAATATTAAATCACTTATTTTTGATATTTATTTCGTTTTCATTGAATAAGATTTAATATAAGTTTTAGAAATAAATATAAATACATTTTGCAATAATTTGTTTTTGAAATATTATCGATAAAAATTTTGGAATTCAATCTCTAACAATGTTCAGACGCACATTATTTCCATGTATACCAAAAACGATGTTAAAAAATGAATTTCTATGATGCAGACTTTAACGTTATAGTAACTAAATAATTCATGTGAAATATTATGGTAATACCCGTTTCGTGGGTAGAAGGAAGGGGGCAATAGCATTACATACATTTTTAAAAGTATTAGAAAAGTTAAAGACGTTACGTAATAATTGACCTTGTTAAATTCTAAATTAAGTACAATAAAACACAAATAAATAAAATCAACCAATTATGACATAATTATATATTGTATACGAGACATTTTTAAGGAATTTATTTTAAGTTTCTACAATTATGAGTGTATTAGTATGATCGTTTTGGAAGCGAAGGTTAGATTCCTCTCGAGAAACCCATTCTGTAATATTTATAGTATAAGATGTACGTAATAGTAAAGTTTATTAAGTAAATTATATTATGATTTAAGTACTAGGAGCAGCTACATAGACTTGATTAGAAACTAAGTCATTATAATTATAATAATATCATACCATAGTATATTTTATATTATTATAGTTTATTAATACTTTATAGTATAGACAATAGGTACATACCCTTAACTACACACCTTATACGTGTCAATAATAACGAATGGTATAACATGATTTTATTTTTGTAAATTTGTTTCAACAATATACATTTCTTTTATATACGGACTAGGGGGCTAGATGACCCGTGGAGCCGAACTTGATAGGTACTCGATATTCGATATTTTATTTATTACAATTTTATTATTGTAATAAAATATTTGCTTTGATATATAATGTTACTGACTCTACGATGTTAATTACAATAAACTCTATTTAGATACCTAAATTACCATTATTATATTTTGTTTGTCTACCCGCCTACTTAATGAGTGTTATGTAAATATTACCTTAAATATTATAATAGCCCTTACTTAACATCCGACCACGATTATATCGTATGATCATAACATGTTATTTTTTATTACAATAAAAATGTAAAGATAAATAATATGAACTTCCATTAAAATGTCATAATTTAAAAAAAAAAAAAATCTTAAAAATATTATAGCTAGTGCATAACGATTTGCCTATTTTAAAGTACTATTCTTCCCTTATTTTTACGTTAAAATATATTTTCTTTAATAAACGTAGAGAAACAAACAAAAAAAGACAGTAAAAAAAAAAAAAAAAAAAAAAAATGTATTTAAGCAAAGTCATATAATATTAATTTTAAATTATTTTTTGCAATATCAGGGTTTTTAGTTGTACACTATATACTCGTGTGAATATTCTTTATTTGTATTATTTATTATCAAGATTATAATATAATAATCATCAAATCAATATTAAAAGATACTTTCAGCATTAACGCAATTTATAATGCATGCTATTTAAAACGTAATTACTAATATTAAAAATTCGTTAGTCAACAACAGTTGTTAAAAATAAATATATTTATTAAACTCTGCAAATCTGAAATTAGTAATAAAATTAATTTAATTTTTTATAGTATTATTACCACGTATACATTTTAACGTTTAGTTTCTATCGTATCTCATACTTAACATTATATTGTTTTGATACATACCGCGACATTTTTAGGTCTAAGTCAATCATATTTTCAAATGAACATAATAATACTTAATAGTTTATTGTTTACTGTTTATCATTACTAAATCTTTATTTGTATATCATACATTACATAATATTTTTTCTTTCATATCTGGTTTTATTTATGTATTGTACCTATTCTTATTTTATTAAATACTCATTATCTGTAACACACTTTATAATATGTAAAAGGACTAGTTTCTTTAATTATAAATAAATAAACCAACATTAAAAATTAATTTAATGATACTGAGTTAAATTAATTTTATTGTAGAATACTCAGTTAAAATTAACCTAACCCACTATTATAATGACGCATAATGGACCTAAAATTTAAAAGGCTTTGTACATATAATATTTTTATCATCTAAAATAGTCTTACATTTATCTATTTGATTATATTTATTAAGTCGTAGAAATTATCTATGATTGAACTTGTAATAATCAGATATAAAATAAATAATTTTATTTAATCATTAAACGATATCATATTTAATCGATAAATTAAGACAAAAACTAATTATTCGATTGAGTTAGGTAAGTGTGAAGGTTACCATATAATAATTCAAAATATCTACTACATAGTTACAAGCTAGATGTACATTTTCTTATACTTGTATCCATATGCATAACGATGGTGGAGCAGGGAGGAGGGAATGTGTAAGCTTTACGTTAAAATCGAAAGTTCGCTAAGCCGTTGCCACCCTGATTGAAATCCTAGCCACGTCTATGCTTTTATCGTTTATTATTACCTAAATATCTTATTCGTCTATTAATATATATATTTTATATATTCATTAATTATTTCAAACATTATTTGCTATTATAAATTATATTTAATAATATTTATATGAAATAGTTACCGATAATTGTCAAGTATCCCCTCATTATTATTTTGTATATCGACTTCCGGTTCAATGAAGAAATGATCTGGAAAAAAAAACAAATAATAATTATAGCATATTAATAAATACCATCCAACATGTTTTACGAAATTTTTCAAAATGCTTTATTGTTCGCATAATTATTATACTCGTATGATTACAGTTGGAGTTCCGAGTCGATATTATTGCGGGTGACGAAACGATTAATTAAAATATACTTATTCAGTGTAATACATTTTTAATCGCACGTTTTTATTATAAACGTATGTTATATATACGTATATATATATATATATTATTGTTCTTTTCAAAACCGTCATTAATTTATTTTTCCGGGACGCGTCTATCCACGCATTTCGATTACTCGAAGAATTTCAATATTAATATTATTGAGACAAAACAACGCGTTTGGTTAAAAGTGGATTTTGATGAATCTTGTTTCCGGTATTCCGTTTGTTGGGTGCTGACGCGCGCCAATAGTGTGTTTTAATCAATGAAAATAATTTGACCATGAATTATTATCGTGTGTTGACTATTTTGTTTTTTCCCCTCCCCCAAATGTGTCTTTAGAATAAATTGATGTTATATATACCATCCCAATGTATGTACGTGCATCGTATACAATTTAATTGTCAATAATAATTGCAAATTTTTTATAGTTTACGCAGTTGCGTATTATTTTATATATATATATTCAAATAAAGAGCTTGAATGATTCACTCGTACATAGAACTGTTGTACGTTTGTGGATTTTTTTGAAAATTCGTACACGTTATGTTTACGTTGGACACATCGATAGTCATTAGTTTGTTAATCGGAATCGTTCCAACAGAATTTTACGTCTCAAATATTTACATGTATAAAAACAAAATAGTAATAATAAAAATAATAATCAGCTCCTTTTATTTAATAACGCTGGGCAAGCAAATTTTTTCTATTCACAGGAATACGTTTCAATTGTTAAGGTTTTTGACGTCTACCGTTGTAATACTATATAATGTAGTATTTGCTTATATGCCAATGTTCTAAATGTTACGGTTTTTGCCCCCTCATTGTTTTTTTTTTTTTTTTTTTTTTTTTTTTTTTTTTTTTTTTCAACGCATAACACGTAATATCTATAACGCGCCCGACCTACAATAGCGATTTCCTAATTATTCGAGATATATCGTGTCGTATATGTGTGTGTGTGTGTGTGTGTGTGTGTGTGTATTCCTGCGACGGAAATAAAAAACTATCCGAATTATTGTATTGTACAACACTTTGTCGTACATCATTATAAAATATACGTATGGGAACATAAGTAGGTATATACACTGAAAACGGCCGGCGTAAGTCGCAATATTATATTATGATTTATCAAGTATATAAAAACTCACAGAAAATGTCGACTTGCAGTGTGGATGTGATGAGACTCCTCGACTGTTGATGTCCAATAACTACCTGTTTTCTCCGGACTTGCGTTCGTATTTAAAGAGCGAAATTTCAGCGGGAGGCAACGTGCCCACTTGTCGTGGAAAAAAAATGTACACACACGTGTGTACACAAATCGTGTTTTTCAAATATATAATATTATAATATCATGTGCATCATGATATAGGGGTACCCCCCCGAGCGAACAACCTTGTCGGACCTCGATATCCGTCAAGTGGGTACGTGATGGAGAATATCGATGTTTAACGTTGTAAAACCGCACAGCCGCGTATAGGCGTAGTTAAATTATTAGTACATAATATAGAGGTGTACAACACATACATAATATTTTTATAATAGCAGTAAAAATTAACATTGTTTTTTTGTTTTAGTTTATCATGATATTACTAAAAAAAAAAAAATAGGTACACGCGGACTTTATAAAATTATGCCGGTGCATAAATACAGTAAAAAGCAACTTGTTATATTATTATATCTGTTCGCAATCAGACGCGTGGTTATAATGTATCATACCAATATCCATTAGCAGTATAGGTCCAATTTTTACTGTATTATTTTTCTGGATAAATACTTAATTTTTACGATTTTAAAGTCTTAATTTTTCTCGACTAGGGTTGAAGTATATACAGCTGTACCTATACTTATTGCCATCGATAAAACACGATTTTGATAAATAGTTTGTTTTTGAGATTTATTTTTAATATAATTTTTATTCTGCACCGTAACCAGCATAATTATTATTGCATGCGTATTATGCCTACTATAATAGATACTACCAATAAAGTAAATCTCGTATAGTCTGTGCCTACTGCGCTTGTCCGAGAAAAATTATGCGGCGTGCAAAGATCTCGACAAAGATTTACAAATTTAGCTGTGATCCGTATCGAAAGTGTCTTGAGAAACAATTAGATTTGTAGATTTTCGTCTTAAGAATATTTATATTTTTTTATTGGATTTCAATTAAAATAAAAACAAATTGTTAATAATAATATGTGATGTGTGGTCACCGTGATACATATATTTTTATTGGTACTTAAGCACGCGCGCTCTCTACATCATTGCAGGGAAATAATAATTTTTAGCTATAGACCAACTACAGAAGACTGTTAACTACTCGATTCATTATATTATAATAGATTATATTGAAAGTGTTTTAACATTAATCGTTAATTTTTAAATATTAGAACTAATTCGATAGTACTTTCATATTCATAACAATTATATTATATTTAATGTTTTACGTCATGTATTCATATCAACGATTACATTTTTATCAAGATATTCCCTGTTGGGTTAATTGATAATAACTCTAAATTTTATTTCAATCCATTTATAATCCAATTGTGTTGAGACGAATAGAGTAGGTAGACGTTGTACAAAAAAGTTGGTTTATATCGTCCTCTTGTACGGTATAGTACGATATCCATAATTCATAAGACAGTATTATGTTACTTTCCTTATAATATGTTTACATTTAGCTATTACGCAATTTTATATAACTTGTAGTTTTAATTAAAAATAGCGATTTTTCTGTAACCGTACAACCATCGTGTTTATGCTTGCAAGTAAGATGACTAAATTAGAAACTTATACATAGATAAATTTAAGGTAATCTTAATATTTGCAATTATTTTTATTATTATTAATAACATTAGTATTTAGTATATAAGTATTAAGATATATTATACACTTACTATATGGTCATTATTTTTGAATTTTTGATTATTTTCAACAGTTTCGTTGCTTTCAAAATGCTCGTATAATATTATTGTGTTATATCAACTATTTAGATGTATTGCCACTTCGTCCACGAAAATATTAATATTTATAACATCAAACCTTTAATAATGTATTTTGATACATAAATAAATACATTTAATTTTGTAAAAGTTATAGTTTTTTCTAAAATTTATATCATTTTGCAAATATCTGCGACTAAGGTTTCGTACATCAAAACCCAAAGATAATTCTATAATCATGTCGCGTTTTTAGTAATCGTATAACGTAATAATGAACAAATTAAAAAAAAAATAGAATAAAAATATTTCACATAAGTATTGCTATTTATAATATTTTAAATATATATATTAATTTATTATTACGTAATGCTTTAACTAATAAACAAAAATTTTTCACTAGATTACTTCAAAATAGAAAACTAGTACAAAATTTATTAGCATTTATAATTATAAATGATATATATTTTTTTTTTTAAATTACTTGAAAAAAAAAGGAATAATTTTTAACCTATATGTTTAAAATAATACTCTCAAATCTAAACATTAAAACCTTATGTCTATAAGGAATATGTAAAAAATTACTCGTTATAGACGAATTAAAAGTATTTTTAACTTTATGATCTTTAGTCTCAAGGTCTTGGTTTGATATAATGTATAATTCATATTGAAGACTAATATGCTTTCTGTATTTATTATTTAAGAAATATAACATTTTGTATGAAATTAATTCTAGTTAATTCAAAGTTTAGGAACAAAATGTGTCTTTATAATTTGAATTTTTTATATTTGTTAAAGTCGTGTTTTATTCTTATAATTGCGATCTGAATTTTAATTTACTAACAAGTATAACATTTTGATGTATTTTGCGATGTAAATAATTATTTTACAATATAAACTAACCTCATAAAATATAATGATCTTATAATATGTATGTATTTAGACATGTTAAATTAAAAAAATATGATTGAAAGTTATATGCACTAAACATAATTTTACTAATTTCTATTACAATTATAAAACAAACAAAAAACATTTATATTATTGTAAACATAAATCTTTATTTTTATCTTAAAGTTGTTAAGTTGTTAAATAGATTGTATAATTTAACTAATTAAATTTAGCATGTAAATATTTCTAGTAATTAAAAATTTTATAAACGAATATATATTAATAATTAAAATATCAAATTTATTATTTATTTTTTTTAAATTAAGGAAATTTATGGGCAATGAACCAATCAAAATTTATAATCGAACGTGTTTTTAAATTTTAAACTTAAATATCCCAATTTTATGAACAATTTTAATGATTGATTCATCTATCAATATTTTAATATGTTGACTTATTATTGGAAAAATAATGGGTTATGTTGAAATGTAGAAACACGAAAACTAAAGCTGTATTCATATATGTGAGCAAAATTAAATTATGTATATGAATATATCCAAATTAACTTTTAACTTGAAAATATATAATGTAATATGTTGACTTCTGGGTAAATAATTCATTCATTAGTACAATTCGATTCATCTAAAACAAATATTAACTAATGTATACATAACATATTATGTACTAGTTAATTAGATGTGTTGTTAATGAATTTGTAAGTTTAATAATATAAACTTCTTAATAATTATGATGATTTCAATCGTTATAAAACTAAATACTACTAAGTACATAAAAAATTATAAGCGATCATTTTCTCATTGGTCAGTTACAATTTGTCATGATTATATCTCTTAACACTTTTTTTAACTTAATACGTTATAACAATACAAGAACTTTTTTAATTTCATATTCTGAAGTAGACTAATTTTCTAATGATTAATAAACAGTAAACATCGAATAGTTGCTATATATTTATAACATAATTTAAAATATATTATACATAGTATATTTGCAAATTATAATAAATAAGTTAATACGATAATGAATATGATGTTGTATTGTAATTTGTAAGTAAATATACAAATCATGACTATTGTATATTATGTAGTCATTAAAAACGTACAAAAATATATAATTCATAATTATTCTATTAATATTAATAGGTAAATAATTTTATTTTTAATTTTTTTATTTTATTAATAGTAATATTCGTTTTATTGTCAAATAATAAATGGTCACAATTCAAAATTTATAAGTAAACACGTTTAAACTTATTTGAATAGTTTTCAGTAATCTATGAAATAATCATCATATTAAATTAGTACACTTCTATCAGTAGTAAAAAATTCGTTTTTATTGGAATCGTATTCATTAATCAATAACAAATTTAAGTATAATAACTATAGCAGTGGTTTTCAAACTTTTTTTATACACGGCACACCGTACACTTCAAAAAATTTTCACGGCACACTGACATTTTTTTAGATGAACAAAATTGTTTTGAATTAATTATAATTTTATATACATTTAATTAGAAATTTTTATTATTTATTTATTAATATTACAATTACAGTATAATATAAATATATATCAAATCCATAGAGATTGAAAGCATTTATTTTCTTATATTGCAATTCAATGCAATCGGTAATTTATGGAAAAACCGCGGCACACCTAGTGCATACTCGCGGCACACCAGTGTGCCGCGGCACCCAGTTTGAAAACCACTGAACTATAGAATAATAAATTCATCTAAAATAAACCTTATCTACTTCAGAAATTATGTTTAAAAAAATTTCTACATATCTTATTATGCAGAATATCTTTGACACTTTCTATTCTAGGCACCGATCATCTAAATTATAATAATAAACAACAATATGAATCAAAAAAAACAAACAAATCTACTAAAACCAGCAAGTCATTTTGACTACGCCCGAAGAGTCTAGTGGTGTTTCCATGATACTCTGTTGCCTAGTGAATTTAGATCTGCCACTAGTACTTCCTGTTGCAAGTGCCGTCGTCTCTGTCGTAGGAAACATTTCCATTTTTTCAGTTAGGTCTTCATATGAATTTGAATGCTCTGAAGGTCTATAAATAGAAATCATAATTTATGTTCAAAAACAATCAATATAATAATTCATTATACGCAAATATCACGAGAAAAAATAAGTCGGAAATTAGAATGGTTAACAATTACGATCATATTTTTGCTATGTTACTTCAATAATAACTAATAACTAGCTAAAAAATTGTTGTTAGTAGATAATACACAATATTTGGATCTATTGAATGATTTTAATTCAATTACTTTAGTGAAATTAACTTATTAATAAGAAGGCACATACATTTATTCGGTTCAAATCACTAACAAATATAAATAAATAATTATACTACTACGTACTTCATTTTTAAAATAGAATACATAAAACAATAATACATAGACTAAAAATTTGCCTTAAAAAGCTAATACACATGGATATACTTTTCAAAGAGTCTCCAGCATGTTTAACCTGTGATAGATACTCAACTTATACTAAAAGAATGTGACCAATAAAAGCACAAAAAAAAAATGGAACAATGTATCCGATAAACAAGACGGAGTCCTATACGCCACAAATAAAAACAACAAACAAAATATTACATTTTTTTTTAAAACAAACCAATTTATTTATAAGCTAATTTATAAATTCAGAATCGTAAATTAATTTAAACAACGTGTAGGTTCATCGTAAAGATATATGGTTAATATCGATTGTTGTTGAAACATTTATGATTATTATTTATAGTCTTATGATTATAATCTGATATTAATAGTTTTAATTCAAATGCAATGTCAATGTGTATTGTGTAATGTTAAAATAACGTCGTATATTATGAAATATTTTTTCGTAGTAAGTAGTAAGTACATAGTATATATTGCGTTTATTTAAATATAGAGATTTTTTTTTAACTTTAAACCTACCAACTTTCTGAAGTGATAAATATCAATTTGAAAAATAAATTTAAATGAATAGGATAAGGATAGCAATACTGTTTTAATTAAAAATTATAAGATGAATAAAAATTTACCTTTTGGGAATACAAGTTATACAATCCGCCATAGTCCAGTTCTTTCCAAATTCTTCTCCCTCTTCGACTGTCTGTGGTAACTTATAATGCAATGTCTCAGGAAGACGGAGACCGGTAATTCCACCAATCACTGATAGTATACCCATTATCAACAGTGGTAATACTAAATTTTCACGTCCCTGTAATTGAAAAGTTCACAAAATTATTGTATTTAATTTAATTTTAATTTTATTATTTGACAAAAACGAAACGTTTCCAAATCATATTTTGAAAAAAGAAATTTATATATATTATACTAGCTGACCCGGAAAACTTTGTTTTGCCCATTAAGTAAATTTATAAAAATTGATGTGGTTCGTTTGGCTTGGTAGCAATGCCTGCTTTATGATAAAATTGGTCTTCGATTTTGAAAGTTGAATTAAACTATTGACCATTTGGAGCATTATTTTTAACTATTTCTGTTGTTCTGAACAATGTCATTTGGAAACATGAATTGAATGTTCGAATTGACTTTAGGAACAAGTTAGATCCGTACTGATAAGTAAACCGTTCAATGGTTCAAGTGGTGTTTCAGTTTCCGGTAGTTGCACTTACTGGCTGGCTCATTTTTGAATTTAAACACATTACAATGCGGACATTCCTTGTTCACAGCGCTAATCTCCACTTTCAAATGAGCGTAATATTTAATATCAGGCCCATACTCGAATGCTAGACGAAGCAATAAATTGGATGTCAATTCTCGATGTACTTGTTGGGGTTGTCGGTCATTTGTTCTGTGTGTGTCAACTACGAACTAAAGCGCTTCTAAACGTCTTTGTTGATTTTGTTCAGCTTGTTCCTCACGCAATCGTGCCATGTTCACACACATATCTTCATTATCCTGTTGAATTTGTTCGTCTGTTTTTTGTACCTTCTATCTCTATTGGCTGCAGTTTTAGTCATTTGACGGCCCAAATCAGATCCTTTACGTCTTACAGGCATTGTTTATTGTACAAAACACACATGCACAAATTACAAAGTGACAATTACGTTAATTATATGGCAAAACAACGTTTGCTGAGTCAGCTAGTTAATAAATGAAAATTAAACATTATTGAATTTACTATAGTAATTCATTATAGTGATCCTTTGCTGTGTTTTTCTACACGCCCTTACGCTCTTTCACGAAGAATATTATTCTGCTAAATGCTAATGATCTAAATTATATTGTGTGCATATTTGTGGAATCTTATCATAAGCTGTATCCTTGATTGTGCATTATTAATTATTTTCGAAAAACAAAAAAAAAATAATTATGATTTTCCACGTTAAATATTAAAAATATTTGTGGAGAATTTCCCTTTACACCAAGGGGTATGAAAAATAGTTTACATCATTCTCTCAGATCTACTGAATATAATACACACACAAAATTTCATAAAAATCGGTCAAACCGTTTCGGAGGAATTTAATAACTAACATTTTCTGTTATGACACGAGAATTTTATACATTATATATTATTTTATTAAAAATAGAAAATAATTACAAACTTCATTATTAATGATCATATTTACCATATCAAAAATATAAGACATAGTCAAGGAAGCGTCCAGCTAGGGACATTAATTTCGTATAAGATAATACTTAAAGTAAAAGTATGAATAATGAATATATTACTACGAATTAAACATATAATCATAAATTATTTGTACCGAAAGAAAATTTTTGTATTAAAGCTGTTCATCAAATTTTTAGTAGGAAAAACAATTTAGGAATTTTCTTTGATTAACAGTCACTAAATATTATATTCATTTATTTTCTCACTGTAACTTAAATTAGCTATATTGTTTCCCAATGGTAACATATTTTTAATGTAAATCCTTTTTTATACATACCTAATACCATTTATGTTGTTACAGTATTTACTAATGATATTTATAGATATGTATAACATGTATTTTTAATTTATAACTATACAAAAGGGTTTTATTTTCTTAAATGTATTTATATGTATGTTTGATATAATATTTTTAATTTTATGCAAATTTAAAATAGCTACCTCCTTAATTATTTGTAAACTCCATTAATGTAAATTTTTAAGAAACTTGCGATAATGATATTTATATTATATTCGTCACTTTGACATAAGTCGTTAAAAAACGTTTATTTTGAGATACACTTGTATTTTGTTTTTTTGTTACGCTGTGGGTATTTGTTTTATCAGTGAAATAATCCAAATTGACAATAATACTATTGTTTATTTTTTATGATCCATGTCAAATTTCAGTATAGGTTTTTGACCTCACTACATTATTGCTATAGTTGTTTATTATTATCTTTTAAATCAATGAAGCTAATTAAAAAAAAAAAAAAAAATAACAATAAACTAAAATTTCATTAATGTTTATCAAATACCATATTTATATACAACTCAAATGTTTATTTATTGTTTCGAAATTTTATTTTGAAAATTTACGCTTGTTGTTCCGACATACATATTAAAGTTTGACAGTGGACATCGAATAGTTCAAGAAATATAAATCGTAGTGTTATAGTTTATATTACTTAAAACATCGAAATGCGCGAATATCGTATGACATACGATATGTAGCTAATTCGATTCGAACCGGATACAAATTGTCGATTCGTTATATCATATTAAATTTAATACCTTCCCTTGCAAATATGCGGTCAATGACAATACTATAAATTGCTCAACATATTTTTTATTATTTTAAAATAAAAACAACATTAATGTACCAAAGTATTATTCTTACATTTACTAAACTTAGTTATGTAGTACGAAATTTTAAGAGTTTAAACTTATTAAATCATAAATAAGACATTTGAAAAGTATATAAAATCAATCAATTGATAATAAAGAAATAGAATATCTCGCTATATGTGTATACAAAAAACCTGAAATAATTTTTAAATATATTAAAAATCTTAGATAGATATATATATATATAGGCACTCGTGTATTACTATGAATACAAATAAAACAGCAACTATATAATCAACTTGATAACTAAAAATGTGGTTTGTATTTTGTTATTCCTAAATAATTTAATTTAAAATGGATAGTTATGTAGTAAGTATTAAATTTTATCTAATAATTTATTTTTTAATTAAAAAATTAATTATTTAAGAATTATTGTAAAATATAAACTTAGAAATTATTTGTCATTGTACTCCCTCATTTAAATTCTATAGGTACCTACTTTTAGTAAATTGTTGAGACTTTTTAAACATTTTATTTGTAATTTTAGTTTTATGACTGTTAAATGTTTTACTTTACTTAAAAATGTAATTACTTACATTAATGTTTGTACAACTTTAAAGATATTTATAGAATAAAATTAGATATAAATATATGAAGTATATTACTATATATATATATATATGTATTATGTATAAATAGTGTATGTACATTTTACACATATCATACTAATAAATAGAAGTATATACACTTACCAAATAGTTAATAAATGGTATTAATACCAAACCAAGACCGGCGATGTACGCAGAGGTTCCAATACCAATTCCACGCAATTGTGTCGGATAGAGTTCACCGGCAAATGGATAGATTATTAGAAACGAAGCTGATATTGTGAACTTAGAAAATAAAAACAAAACCAGTGTAGTAATCACAGCATCTGAAATTAAGTCCAATCGGTTTAGTTATACTATAGGTAATTAATGGATCAGACATGTTTTTAGATTTTGTATATTATTTTATACAAAAGAAAATTTGAATATTTGGTTGCACAAAATACACACGTTTGATAAGATACATTTATTTTTCCTTAAAAGTCTATAAAGTTAAAAAGCTTTCATTACATACTTTGTCATGTACAATTATGTCCATTAATAGCAGTAATTCGACAACAGTATTAATAGGGGAGGATTCAGATATGCAGTGCACTCTAGTTAACAAGCAAGTTAGCGGTTGTAATAGCAATTTTCAATACAGTGTCGCATTGTTTTAATGTTTCGATGCCAACAACTAAAGATAACGATAATATTTGATTGTTTAGAATATTAGACGTAACACGTAACAATGACCATTACAAAGTGTTTACCCCATACTCGAACAAATGTATAAACACGAAAAAAATGATAAAAATAAAAAATCATATGTTTTTAACTGTATTAGTGTTTAAATACGTTTTATTAATATCACAGTTACAATCAATAGCAATACAATATCTTTTAATGTATTGAAAACGTTATTAATGTTATTATAAATATAATAATACACGTAAAAGTTTCAAATTTCCAAGAAAAATATTTTTGAATTACTATAAAATAACTAAAATCGATAGATATTATTGGTTCAAATGTTGAATTTTATCCAATTTTAAACTTTAATTATTCATAAAAAAAAAAAACGCAAATTAATATATTATTTAGATTTTTCAATCCCGTGTAAATTAATTATCATGAGGAACTTTGAATAAAATATTTAGGTATTTACTATAAAAATTGAACACTTTATAATATTTTAATTACAAAACATTTTGGAAATTTTTCTGATTTTTTTGTAATGTTACTCATTTTAATGACTATTTTATTTGGTTGTTTTTAAATTACAAAAAAATAAGAAAATCGTTAGATAAGAGATTGTTGTTTTATGCGTGAATTCATAAGTTAGTCAAAATTTAAACTTCAGATGCTCATAAAAAGTAAAAAGTATTTGTAAAATTACAATTAACTTGAAAAAAACAACTTATTACTTATTAGGAATATTATTGTATTCAACTTTCAAGGTTTTTACTAATTAATCAAAAATTTTAAATGTTCATATATAACTAAAAATATCTCAAAATATTTTGCAATTTTTATCACACATAGAAAATAATAGCACAAACATTTGTTAAAAAGTTAAACATTTAAAGTATCAAAGGTAATCTTTTTTTTTGAGTTACACCAAAAATTCAAAACCAATTTTAATAGTAGCTAATTTTGCGTTTTGGAAAATATACCATTATTTTTATTTTTTCCTATTATTTTGAAAAATACTAAATATTTTTAATTTTTATCTTTCAATAGTACCAATCGATCAAATTTACTATCAAAAACCACCTTCAAAGTTGAAAATTGAAGCATTTTAATATCATATATCAAGTCTTACGTGTCACTATAAAATCAATAGATATATATTCATATTACTCCGCTTAGAACCTTAAACACGTCACATACATGCGTACATCGTAATATTATCATAAGACTTGTTATTTGTGAAGTTTACCTGGAGGCAAGGTGACGGTAATGATACAACTAATACCGCTTAATGTCATCGCTAAGCACAGGGGCCACCGCCGACCCCATCGATCCATAAGCAGCCAACATACCAGACAGCTAGGAACTTCCACGACAGATGACAGTAGAAAGCTCAAGTATTGATTTTGTCCCAACGATGGACCATAATAGCTCAGTCCAATATACACCATATCGTTGGCAAACCTAAAATAAAAAAGAAAATTGTGTTCAAACTTATTATTTCACTCTAATGGGCCAATTATTTTGCACTGACCAGTTGAACGTTATTAAGATCGACTTTAATCGCATGTTGGGCGTCCGACACAAGGCCAAAACTCCTGGTCCTTCTTTCAAACGTTTTTCTTCACTCAGAGTGCGTTCCATCATCATTTTTTGCTTAAAACATAGAATAACCACTCAAACGTTAAGACTTTTTTTAAAAATTACATAACATAACAATTATAGTCATTATAAAAACAATAAATCATACTCTTTATCAAAGAGAAAGTGTTAAAATTAAGGCACAGATGATGAAGTGTACAGTTCACTTTGAAAATGAATATTATGAATTAACTTTAAACTCACTTCGCTACATTTTATATCAATGTTATCAATATTCATTATTTAAAAGTTCATAATAAAGAAAAAAAAGTTTAGACAATTTTTAAAATCTGAGGACTGACAAAAGTAGATAGCCCATCGGAGCGTATTAACTGTTAAATATAATATTTTATTAGATTCATAAGAATATTTATACTATTATAATAAAATATTAATTAGACTGTAATGTATGTAAATTACATCTGTTATAAGCAAGATTGTATTTTATTTTTATAGAAGAAAAAACCGTTTGGTAACTGCAGATTTTTAAACAAATTAAGAAAATGCGTTTATATTTTATTCTAAATTGTCTGCTGTTTATTTTTATTTAAATCTCTTGTAAAATCCAGGTTAATTATAAATTTTACATGAAACTTTTTGTAGTCGAATAATGAATATTAAATTTTAATTTATTATCAATTTTATTAACTATGAGTACTATGACCTTACAAAGTTTTGAAATTTAATTGATTATTTTTAAAGTTATCGGTTAACTGGTAAAAATATTTTCAAAAATCATCCGTTTAATAATAATAATAATAAAACAATGAAGTGTGAAATTCATATATATTATTAAGTAGATAAAAATTGATAAGATATTTTAAATTTTTATCGTGATCACAATAGTAAGCTCCGTCGCGTTACATAATTTCAAATGGCCAATGTGAGTTAATAATAAATTATTGTTGAACTTCAGTAAAAAGCAATAAGGTATTGCAAGCCAATAATGAATAGACTATGTTATTTATTATTGATGATTGAGAAAAATGTCTGTAAAGTGTTTTTTTTTTTAAACACTTAAAGTTAAGCATTCAAAATCGATTCATGATTATTTTCACGTATAAAAATGAAATATTTTTTAATATTTTGAACTATAAAATTAATTTAAAACTTTCGTGACTTCAATGAATCTATTTAAAATTTTAACTTTTAACGCATATTTTATTATAAAAAAAAGCGTGATATTATATATATATACATATATGTGTGTAAGATAACTTTTAACTGTTAAGAAACTTTATTTTATATTTCAAGTTTTTTGACCAAAAATTAAAATTGTAATCAATGTAAATAAAAAAATTTTAAAATTTTAAAAATTTAAAAATGTGGAATGTTAAATAACCAAAATATTTTAAAGAATAAAAAATATATTTATAAAATGCCCATTTTTATAAATATTTAACACCTACAGTTATTATTTTTTTAATTACCATAAAAAACAACAAATCAATAATCTCAAAAATGATAATATCCCCGTTTTTTCACATTCTTTCTTCATTTTTCCGAATTATAAAAATCAGTGCTGAGATGTTCTTACTTTTGTATTTTGAATCCAAATATCAATTAGATCAAATTATCTATTTTAAACCACATTCAAAGTTCAAAATGACATAGTTCGCAGCAGTCGCCAGTACAAAATACAATCACTGAAGTGATACACTTACGCTCATTTCTACTAAACACTACTTCGTGACATAGACAACGTGATTCGGTCAACTTTGCTTCCTTGGTTGATAACAAAAAAGTGGAATGTAAGACTGAACCGGATGTACGTACAAATCAATAACAAAGTTCAACGAGAACAACTAGGTACGTGTCTTCGACCGCTAGGTATCAACCATTACGAGTAACAGAGTGTAATACTCGTATTCATATAGGTGTATATTTTAATAAAATAATAATACATATTTTACATTCAATTTTGCACGTGATGTCTTTATTTTGTTCTCAGCCCTCACCTCTCATACAACACTAACTTTAACTGGTCAATGACAGCCGACAATTAAAGTCATCACAGTCTATGTCAATGACTGAAGCATATTTCTTTAATGCAAAACGTGACAACGAAAAAAAAAAACACATAATTGTACGACCAATACATTCATACGTGTCGATATTATACAATCAACGAAAATTGTATTAATATGTTTAAAGTATCGAATAATTTGCTAATCAAAAGGAAAAAACCATTTGATTTATAAAATGGCATAAAAGATCACAAATACTTTGTCGTACGTATAAATCGCCAATCGGAAAATAATTTTAAAAAAAGTGAATTGTCGTACCTTCAATTTCTGTTTGAACGTATCTGGCAGCACGGTTCCATTGATTCGAGCTAAGGTTTCCAATATTTTCAACGCCTCTTCGATCCGGCCTTTAGCCAATAACCATCTTGGTGATTCCGGAAGGAACCTACAACGAAAAATTAAATTGTATGTGTATTTATATGCAATTGCATCGATCGTGCAATAGACGCACACGGAACACATGTGTTCTATAATAAAGTCACAGTGCTCATGTTCGACCACAACAATGAAAATTTTAACTTGCCACCAGTATATAAAGTACAATGTGAACGGGGTGGATGTCGCCAACGCCAAGTATACCCAATTGCGCACATAGTACGTAACACCAGACAACAGCATCAGACCGAGCGTGTAGAACATGCACGTCATCACGGTAATGAACGACCTGTAGTTTGGTCCTACGAGTTCCAGAGCTAAGAAGAAATCATTTGACTATCAGTATTTAAAATTTTTAGTTAAAATATCGATTTCTCATTATTTCGATGATAATATTCATTACACCTAAGACCTAACCTATGTCAATTAACTAATGATCAGTAAATTATAATATGTATTATTAATATTGTTCAAAGTGTATCACTCTATAATAAAATATTTATTTTAAATTTAATTTAACTGTAGATTATTATTTTCTGTTAAATTGTTTGTATGATTTAAAATACATTTTTAATTTAATTATATACTAAATTGATCGTCAGTCACGAATAAATAGTTATATTAAAAAATAATAAAAAAACTAATTCAAATAATGTGCCTAAAAATAAGAAATATTTTTTTACTTTACGCAAACTTAAAATAAAACGATTCAACTCATTTTTGTGAAAAGACAATACGATATTATGTATAATAGTCTAGTTTGAAGTCATTTTATTAATTTTCATTGGATAGGTATTTACTGTTAAAAAAAATATATATAAGATTAAAACTAGTGGGTAGAGTGATATCTTCATTGAGGACATTGAAACATTGTGGAATATTCATAAATATAATTTTAAAGCATACATAATTATTGTAATATATCTTATTGTTTATATTAAAATCAATTTTTTTAACATAAAAAATGTAATAAAAAATCGTTATTATAATTTAATAAACATAATCGTAATAATATAATAGAATTGGCTCAACAACAATCTTTCATGGAACGCATTTTATCCTTCGTACAGCAATGTCGGTATAAGTACAAACAGTTTTTTTTTTTTTTTAATACCCGATCCTGACAACGTTCAGTAACTTAAATCTTCTGTAAATTATATTATAAATTATGACTAACGAAAAACATTTTCATATCACTCAATAATTTAAGTTACACGACAATGTAATGTAATTATTATAACTTGAAACTATTTCTCTGGGCCGTATTAAAATCGGATAATATAATTAGATACATCGCACAACATCATAAAAATTAGATATATAAAATAAACTAATTTACTGCCATCGATTTTTTTACTTGAGCAGTTAATGAAGAGTGAAAATCAATATTATAACAACAGAATAAGTACATAAGTATAAGTATAATATACACAGCCATCTACATTTCAAGTTGACAATTTAATAGAACACAAAATATATTACATTATTACAGCCTATAGGTACATGATATTTATGTACATATAATTTATTAACAATTATAATTTATGGTTATTTTTTTCATACTTACATATAATAAATGGGATTTGATAAACAGCAGGTATAGTCAAACCTACAATTACTCTGGAAGTAGCCCACCACCAGAAATTCATCGCGCAAGCTGTTAACAAGCTACCAATAATTAATGTAGCCAAACAGAAAAAATACGATTTCCTTCTTCCAATTCTATACAAAAAAAAAAAAAAATAAAAAATATAGTTATTATAATAATAATAATAATAATGCAAATTAATTGTTACAACTCAAAATAATGAAAATTCAATGATATAAAATTTTTGAATTGTTAGATTATTTATTCACCTGTCATTTAAAACACCAAAAAAGTAAACTCCAATTGGTCCTCCTAAGTTTAGGGCTGCTAGTCCAATCGTCGGGTATATGTCATGCTCACAAACCAAATCAAACTAATAAAATAAATATAATATCATAATAATAAATAATTATTTAGTACCACTTATCATATACCCTTAAAAAAATAAGTAGTTCTCATAAAGTTCATAAAAACAAAGTAAATTGCCTACTTTGTACGCCTTGATTAAGTATTATATTTTTATGTAACTTATTCAAATTTAATTTTATATTACAATATTCTTCGCATAAAAACAGTACACAAAATGTAATTCTATTTCGTGACTTTATATTTAATTTGTTTATTTCATAAAATTATATTAATTAGGTACCATTAAGGTTTTATTTATATAAATGTTAAATTTTATTATTTCGGCTTGGTTATTCATTATTCATTTTGAATACCAAAAATATTGAAAGAATTGTGTTCCAAAAAAATGTTTACATAGTTAATTTAATTTGAATTATTCTAAAGTATCTATTTTTCGGACTAAAATTAACTCATTGCTGTTATAAAAACTTGATGTTTAAATTTAATATTAATGTTAATACTCCATGCAATTTATTACAGTTAAAAACAAATTAAATTTTGATTTTATACGTGATTTACAAAACCGCAGAAACCACTAATAAATAAAAAAAAAACCATTGAGAATTGTTTTTAACCCCACTCTACGTCGTAGCGATTTTAATTCCCGAACTTTCATTCTTAATTGACTGTTTTAAACAATTATACACTGATAATTAAAAGGTATATGGTACGATAGTATAATATTTTACGGTGAACAAACACCATTCAGACGATATTATTTAACACCAGTCATACACATGACACAAATGTGCTAATCATTTAATTGAGTTCATGTTATCGATCAAATGTTTCGTTGTACATGACTGAATGCCAGCGCTGTGCCTAGGGGGATGCGAGAGACGCGTATGCACGGACGCCATGACCACCAGGGCGCCAAAACCTTTTTGTAATCTAAGTAATATTGCTAAAAAATGAAAGTTAACCATATCAATTTATATTTTTTAACGGTTTCTATGTAATAATATCATCCTGATCGACGTTGTCGATTTTTTATTTTAACTGACGATGAGATAACGTTTTGAAATCTATTGTAGACAATATTATGTAAAAAAATCTATTCATGGATATAATTGGTTTTTACTTTTATCCCGAAGTAACGACGTCGCTGATCGTCAATAACAATAATAAACTATAAATATATATATATACTGCATTATTGTTATTTTATATAATTAATTTAATAACAAAATGTGGACTGGAACAAGTTATACGATTTTATTTTGAACTCATCTACCTATGTATGATAGTGTCCACATCACTCATTGCAGAAGTAGGTACAAAATTATTTTTTATTAGCATTTATTTGAAAATAAGTTATTTTTTATGCGATCAAACAAATTTGATTTGTAAATAATTAATGATATCGATTTAGTATGATAAGTACCTATCTATCAATATTTTTTATTCTACAAATACATTTTGAATATTATACTACTAACCTCAAGTTAGAAATGTGCAAAAAAAGTTAAATCTAACGAATTGTTCTCCCCTATTCTTATGGTATCTCTTTATAAGTATAACAGTATATGTCTTGGTAGAGAGGATGAGGATGAAGGCGATAAAAATGATTCTTGGCACCAGGTACTACCTAATAATGCTAGGAACGGGACTGCTGAATACTACACATAAGTAAAATTTTATGGATATTTTGATCGGCGCATAATATTTTCATATTGGGCGTAATACGTAAAATGTTATTTTAAAGTAAACAATACCGATATAACATTATGGTAATAAATTCACGGTCATCGAGTTTTCCATAATATATCCGCGTGGTTAAGTTAGGCGTGCCACGACCTTTAAAATGTCGAAAATATGTTATGTTCAAAGTTCAAACGATTGAAATTCATAAATACTATATTTATTTTAATATCTCCATATCAATATCATGCCTGTGTGTACATTTATTTCGATTTTAACCAATTTTGCAATAAATATACAAACAAGTAGGTGGTACACTCCGCAATGCATCCATATTTAATGTTATGAACTACCCTCTTCGACAAAAAAAATTCTGGATACTTCTAAATAGTGATCATTATTATACCAACGTTACGTATGTTATAAATCTAATATATATTTTTATGTACATTGTGCATTAACCGTAATTTTACGTATCGGTTTAATATACTCAACGTTTATTATTATTATTATTATTGTTAATACTACGGCAATAATATTATAGATCGGTGTACTTGGAAATCGAGAAAGCGTAATAGTGCGGCCGGTCGTCGGCGGTATTTTTTTCCACCATATACACCAGCACGTACTGACGTACTTCCGACTATAATATCATACTATATTATAATGTTATTATAGATACTATACTATGCCCACTATATACTTACATCGAATTGCTTGTGTACCTACGGCATAAGTGAATACAAATTGTACACACGCATGACATTAAAATAATATGTTATTACGCGCTCTATCGGATGACAAATTACAGCGTGCGCCCGTCGCCCGTCAATATTATAATATTATATTATTATGCTTCACTTCGTTAACCTTCCGGATTACGTAGGTACACATTATAATATTATACCATCAATGAATCCCAGACCGACGCTGCCACGTTGTTACACGCCTCTCATTCGACATCACATGTATATTATTGTACTTATCCGTATGTTTATATATACCTATTTATAATTATAATACTACAACACACGTGTGTCATTAACATTTCAAACCGCGCCTCGACGCGGCGGTTTTCCGTGAGTTTTCGATTGGCATCGATGACGGAAAACGAATACACAGTACCATAATAAAATAATTATGTATAAATGTACGGATATTGTGCATACCTTAACCGGATCGGCAGTCTGGATTAATTATTATTGTAAATAATGAACAGAAAAAAAACTAATAATAGAGATATTATAATTTAGTACAGCTAATACATTATGTATAGAATTGAAATAATAAACCGAGGGAAATGGATCTTGACAAAACGTCGAGCACATAATATTATTAACTATTCCGTTAGACATGTTTTTCAACTAGTAAAAACGCTAAAGATTATGTTATCGTGTTACCCTCGTTTCGCAATTTTTTTTCATTTAGAACTTTCTAAACTTTAGTTAATCCTATGTAGTATGTATTGTTTTAATTACCATATACAGACAGATAAAATGTAATAAAAGCCTTGAATGAATTTTTATTTTTTGGTTTTTAGATTTCCATAATTCCATAGTATATATGAATAATGTTCTCTTAAATGTTACCAAATACTCGTACTAATACTGATCGAAATTGCGATTGAGATCGCACAGTTTAATCTAAACTTTTAACTAATCTAATTTTATCTCATCTTTTAAAATATATTATTCAGCTTATTTATACGGTACAAAGTGTCTGCAGTAAGCAAATCGAACAATATAGACAATACAAAGTGACCATTTACCCATTTTTGGGCAATACATTAAAAAAAATCCAAATTAATACAAAATATTCAACGTGCCACACAAAAATCGTATATGTATGTTATAAATAAATACAGGGGCGGATATAACAATTTTCCGTCCCTATGCCAAAAAAAAATTTGACGCTCTTATTAAAAAAAAAGTCACCACTGTACAACAAAATTTCCTTATATAATAACAATTTCTATGAATGCAATTATTTTTTCGTATAACTTAAGTTCAATAAAAACTTTTAATTCAAATATAATATTTTCTCTTTATTTTAATTATATAAGAAAAAAATAATAATAAATGTATTAAATTATTAAATAATTATTTAGTTATATAAGTAGTTTTAATGTTAAATATTTATTTTGAAATTAAAAAATTCAAGAAAAAAATTAAGTATTTTTCTATACAAGAACAAAATAAATATTAAATACAATTTTGCTACGTAAAAAAAGCCGCCCTATGCGGCTGCATAGTTCATAGTGCTTTAAATCCGTCCTAGATACATAAATACATATTTACTTCCTGACTACACATCTAGCTTATTTCGCACAGTTAATTCATTAAAGAATATTACGGGTTGCTTAATATAAAAAAAAATTATAGGTACATAAGACTGATTTTTTACAAATCTTATAATCATATTTCCTATGCACGCAAATTGAATTGAATTTCACGAACTCGGAAAAAAAAGAAAACGTTTTTAAGTTCATTATTTTCTATTGCATTGTATTTTATGCACGTATTGGGTTGATTTTCGTCACATTTTTTTTTGAGTATAATTTATTTATCATGGTTGCATGAACGGAAAATGCATTGGAATTGACTGATTTAACTTTAAGATTTTTACATGCTCTGAAGACTGCGAGCGAATTGACGATATGCGTTTTCATTTTACGGGGCAGATAGAACGAACTAAAATCTTACAGTAATCATATTAATTGAACGCCAATTGTACACTTTGAAGTATTTGATAAAAATTGTGAATAAGTAGTAGGTACTAATCTCCTATATGTATATTAATTCATTAATAATGATAAGTTATAAGTTATAACAATAGAGTGAACTTTACACATGTTTAGACTTATTTAAATTGCATACGTTAAGCATTATTTATGTTACAAGCAAATTAGGCTATCGGGCAATGTAAAACATTGCCCGGTCAATATATACTTTGCCCAATGTTTTTGGTCAGTATATTTAAAATACTATTTTTGCCATGCAGGGTTGTACTTTGATCGGTCCAAATTACTTTGCCCGTACTTAATTGATCATTGTAACTTAAGCTATAAACAAAACTTTCTATTTGAATAAATTTTTCTTTTAAATGTTTTTAATAATTAAAAAAGGGTAGATATAGTGAGGAAGATAGGTACTATGATCACAGTCAATTTAGTATACCTATATTATATTTTTTGAGTTATAGATGCACTTTTATATTTATATTTTATAAGCTAATTGGTTTGAGAGTATAGAAGCAATGTTTGGATGTAGTGCAAAAATTTAATTTAACGATGATTTTACATTATGATTGTATCCAATATCAATAATTAGTAAATTAAAAACTGAAGAAGATTTAGAAGCGGCTATAACATATATGAATACTGGAAATCATTATAAACTTGATGAAACATTGATTTAAGTAAAAATAGATAATAGAATAAATAAAATAACTGCTATAAGAACAGAGTTAGATGTAAATTTATTAATTTAATAATTCAAATGAATAATTGATTTACATTGCCCGATAGTCTATTTTTCCCGTAACATAATATTGATGTAACTAAACAACTATTCATAAATCATAGTTTTTATCAAAAACTTCTAAAAATCCAATATGCATACTACAGCATTAAAATAAAAATAAATCTATGGAATAAAACCAACACATTATTTATGCTACTTTATTAATATATAAAAAATTGATAAACCAATAATATTTTTGATGATTCTTTTACAAAAAAAATATATAACATAAGTAATATAACTGACGATTTTTGTTATCACTTTTAGTAAAACGTTAATGAAGTTTAATGCATTTTATTGAAGTGGTCGGAATAACAATCATTAATTTTGTGAAAAAATTATTATCACAAAAACACCATTTTGTGAACTTAAACGTCTGCTTTACAGAACTCATTCAATCACAATACTTATGTTTTAAAATATTTATTTATTTGGACAACTAAACGACAGGTACCCAACTGATAATATTTCAAAAATGAAAAATATCAAATTAATTTACTACACTACGGGTAGCCGGTGAAGGTATGATACATACAATTTAAACGCACACAATATATTTAGAAAAAATAATACTTGTTTAATATTCAGTTTTTGAATACAATTATTATAATCGTATGGTTAGCATATAATATCATAATAATAAATATAATATTATTATTATTATACATAATAATAAATATAATATTATTATTATTATACATAATATAATATCCGCTCACCAGTTAGTAGTAATAACTCGTATTGGTACGATTGGCACAGACGCATCGTGCACTGACTAATTTCACGGTGTACTTTGTCACCGTAATCGTTTTTGAGCGAGAAAGCCAATTAATTATTACCACTTCCATTTAAATGGCACCGACGATAATAATAATAATATTATATACTATATACGGGTAATTATTTCATCGGACGGAATTAGCTAATAAACCGCCACGATGTTTTCAATTGACTAATTGAACTTCTTTGATAATCGGTAAAAGGGCTACTGTAATGCTATTATGTAATGGTGTATCGAGAACACAAAAAAAAATAATAATAATGGCAATACCTATAACATTGCGGTCTTATACAATCGTATCTATACGTGCGTGAGTCCACCGCGATGCATAATAATATTGTGTTTTGAATTAATTAATTGTATTTTTTAACCGCGATTTCCGAGATATTACTCGAATCTCAAATATCTGTGGTTTTACGACGTACATGTTTTACGACCTAATATAATCTTTTATAACATTACCCACTATATTTTATTAATATTTATCATGTACATATATTAAATTTAACTCCAAATAAAAAAAATCGTAACATTTAATTTATTTTAAAACACATCTATTATTCTTATAGTCATAAGTTCTAATTTCATATCAATCATATCCATATGTATTTAATACCGTCTTGACTTTTAACTAATGTTACGTTGTATATCACGATAACGAAAAATCCATTTTTATTCATTGGTTTAATGTATTACAATTTAAATTGTTTCAGTTCAAGTATAATTATTTACATTATTTACTGTATAAAAATGCTATGCACATGATTCGGTTACTTACATCGATTACAATTGAAGACTGTACGAAGCTCGTATCATATTCCCAACTGTTACATTTCTCTAACGGCCAACTTTCATTTACCAACTGCTCCAAATTTCCGTGAACTTCAGAAGACACCAAGACTTCTGTCCAGTTAACTGCATACCGCATACATCCATTTTTTACTTGAGTTACGTTACTCTAAAATTAAATTATGTTTAAGTTTATATCGAGATAAACAAAACCATTATGCTGCACACATATTGTTCTAACGGAAAATTCTTCACAGTGCACAACACATCACAGTATTACACTCATTTATTCCAGGTACACGAGTTAACCCAATCCACTTGTTACCTATTAGTTTTTCATGTTAAACTAAAAATGTATAACCAAACAATTACTCAATATTTTATCATTGTGATCGTCACAATATATAATGGAATTCAAATACACAAAAATGATTACCTGACAAATTATTAAGAAACCCAAAGAAATTATACTTTTTTTTTTAAATCAGACAATAGATTTAGTTAATAATTATAATTAAGAAAAAGCATAGTTGTTTGAAAGCCATTCATGTTTAAGGCTCAAACTGTGATCCTAACCTAACGATGTGATTATGTGTCTTCATTAAATGATAACGTAATATTATGATGATCACGTTATTTTAAATTATTATATTTAATAATACAAATATTAAAATATAATAAGCAAATCAAATAAAAATAAAAATATGATAATGGTAAATACTAAATAGTAAAACTTGTAAAAAACTGTATATTAAGTCAAAGTTATATTTCGATCGATAAAATAAATGCACAGTTCATTTGTACAAAAAAATAATTTTATATTCCTTCAGTAGATAATAGCCAATAGGTATATTATTTTTAGTATTCCGTTGCATATTTATGCTATCCAATATTTATTATAATCCCGTGCTTAATCTTACTTATTGTATTGAATTTTACAAATTATAAATAAAATTGTCTTATAATATATTCATTTTTTTTAGTAGAAAAAAAACTTTTTTAATTATATCCCATACAAAAAATTACCACAAAAATGAACATATTATTTGCATATGTATGAAAATTTGAAATTCATTAATAATCAAATACTTTGTCAATATTTGTTTATTACTAATCATACGTATTATTGCATCCACAATATCAATAGAATATTGATAATATAAGCCTAGTGCGGAATTCTAAGAATATTCGTATAATAGCTTCGGCATAACAATTATTGTTATAATAATATTGTGTCCACGTATATGTTCGGCGTCTGATTTAAACAAATTAGATTTACTTGTTCATAAATTTGTTTTCTCTGTTCCGCAGTGAAATTAGACAGCTGCGGTTCCAAACACCAATGAGGGGGAACGTCGGACATGAACAGTTGGTTAAACGCTCCAAAACCGCACGGTATACATGCGGGCAGACAGACGAGCCATAACAATAACTTTTGATAGCGACCAAACTCTCCGATGATTGGCAAGACTTCGTCCAAGTCAACTTCATTCTATACAAATCACAATAATATAATAATATTTATTTCTGTAGAAATAATTTAAAATGCAATGTGATTGAACATTAAATTATTATAACACGATAAAAACTCATTTCTTTTCGATTGATAAAATTATTCGTGGAAATGTTTTTAAATTTAACTGCAAAAGCCAAAAATGTAGATGTATCAAGACGTTTGTGGTATGTGTATGGTATTCGTAAGAGCACGTCGCGACATCAGCGAATGCGTCATAACATCGTATTCAATTGAGATGGCTATATTTATCGTGTACTATGCTATGTAATTTTTCAACAAATCAGTACTTTTATGGTAAATAATGATTCTTATAAAAAAAAAAAAAAAAAAACACTATGCAACCATATTATCATTATTCATAATTATATATATATCAGTATATAAAATATATCATTGTGAAATTATAATTAATTTTACCAAATATCTATTTTTAAATTTAATGTGAACACGATTGTGATGAAAATATCAAGATTTTTTAAATTACAATTGGTTTTAAAATTTTAGGCAAACATACATTTTAAATTGTTATAAAAAAATCAGTTATAATTTATAAATGTATCTTCTAAAGTTCTAAATGATATATCATATCTTAATTGTAATTATCACAGAGTAATTATTTTTCAATGCTATTGAAATCCTGAAAATTGTTTAGTTCCTGGATTTTTACAAAAAATATAAGTGAAAAGATGTATTATTTAAATAATTGTATTCACTCTTCAGTTTAATCAAATACTACCTATATGAAACTATAAAAACATTTTTACTATATAATATTATACCAGAATATTTTTCTTAAAACAAATATGTTTTATTGTAATGACGATTAAATCCGAATATAAAAATAATTATAAATCGGTAATTACTATATTAATTAAAACAGTAATGTCTTCATGAATAATAATTGAGTGTATTAGTCTTGAATGGAAGGGAAAATAGGCTATTCACATGTAGACTTTTGGCACGCAGTTCCAAATTCAATGGAATTTAGGCCAAAAACAAGTCGCAAAACAAATTTAAATGTTTAAAAAAACACATGTTTCTTTTAACACCGTTAACAATAATGTGTGTATATTGCAATGAAAGATTTATACCTATTTGTTTAAAATAAAATCGATTCTTAATTAACCATAAATAAACGACAAATTAAAACCTATCGTTTACTATTTTTTATTTTTTTATTTAGAGTCAATTAAATTAGTAAACAACATAAATATAATATTTCATAAAATACTACAACTTTTTACATGAAGAAAAAGAAAATTTGAGAACACTGTATAACAGTATATATCTTGAGCAAATATTACTTTTGTTTTTTAAATAAAATATAACATTAACATCGATAAATCCATAATTAATATTACCTAACTAATAAATTAATTTATACCTAAACAAATATATTACTGCGAGTATAGAATTATAGTGTATATAATATACTTACTATATTTACATAATAAAATAAAAATATAACTTTTGGTATAAACATAAAATAACATAATAACAAACTATAAATGTATATTATAACATATTATAATATAATTTACTACTTTACAACAAGCAATAAGAAACTGACTTAAACTAATGTTTATATAAATTAAGACAATTATTTTGATTAATTGTTAACATGTGTATCGAGTTCACTAATATTAAAGAAGTAAATTTTATGAGTATGATGGTAAAGAAAATTTTAATAAATATGTATATTTGCCTATACAATTCGCCGTTCATTTTTACTAATGTCACGACTATCTAAAATGTTATTATGTATGTAAAATATACTCAACGACTCTAAAATATAGAAATATTCGAGAGCAATAATTTCTATTTTTATTTTACTCACAATTTTCTTATTTTTTTCCGATTCACTGTTATCCATGACGAACACCACAACGGACTAAAATGTCGTCGAACAACATATAATTAAATTAATACTATTTAGCTTACATTGATTTTTTTGTTTATTTTTTTTTTTTATTATTATTATTTTATCCGAAGACCTTCAACTATCACCAGGTTGTACGTTATATACATACATATAAAACTATGAGTAAATGAAATGACCGTAAATAGGAATCTACTAGACAAAAAACAGAATATATCCATCATATGTATAACCATTTAATCAATTAATAGAGAACTGACCGATATCTTTTAAAAGGTCATCTCCAGTTTTAAATTTCAATTAATAACGGTTATAAAATAAAAATAAAAAATGTTATTTTACTACGGGAATTTTAATATCTTTACAACAATCGATACACACAAAATACTGAGTACCACTCAAAACTCTCAAATGTTTAATAGTTTCACATATTCTGGTAAAAATTAAAATTTATAAAATAGTAGACGTAGTAATAGAGTATACATTTGCTGTTTTAATATCGTATAGACTTGAAGGTATAGAGTTAATTTTATTGAATTTCTCACTTTGATCGCGTAGATCTTGCAATATAGTTACGTATTATATACATGTACACTAAGTACCTACACATAGCGCACGCGTTGTTATTAGATTTGATTTTAACCCAACTATAACAAAAAGATAATATTTGAACCGTAAAAATACTCAGAAATCATTTTTTAACACGTTGTTCCAACGTCTAATTAACGGAAAATTATATTATAAGCGTAGAATCAAGAGTACTTGTAGATTCAAATATTGTAAATACACCTTAATTACTGCCAAAAAATAACGTTAACTCATATTTATTTTATTTTTTATCCGTGATGATGGTGCTGCCATTGTCGTAGTATAGACCTATCGCGGGCTTAGGTTAGGTTATACGATACCGTATATACGATGTATATTTCACATTTAGATGTCTATTGTTTTATTCTTTAAGCATAATACTTACACTAAATAATAAATAATAATAAATTGTGTTTACAACGATTTCAGTGTGGTTTATGATTTTTAAAACACCAAGCGGAAGCCCGTTATACAGTCAACACGATAATAGCTATACAATTAGTGACAAATAATGAAATAACTGTTATTTATTGAAAAAAAAAACCAAACAATACGATGCGATTTGCAGATTTCGTTTTTTCGAAAAAAAAAACGAGAAAACGGCTGCTGCCCGCGCGTAACAAGTACGTACACGCCACACGGCGAGCATGTGGCACGCGTACTTCGTACGACGACGGTGATGATTATGATAATAATAATAATAATAATAATAATAATAATAACCGTGTGTATCATAATACATAGATATAGCTGGTTTAACTAATGTGTATTATAATCTTCCTAGAAAGGCATACCGCTGGGCGTGCACAGCTGATACATGATATTATATATGCTGGACAAACGCGACGTCGTCGTTCTGACGCGGTGACAATGTATATTATAATGTGCGCTCGCCTGCCTGTGTATAATAGTGCTGGCCGGGCGCGAAGAGAGGAGATATAAAATTAAAAAAAAAAAAAATATGAAGAGAAAAAAATCAAAACTCACGCAAACGCTTTCACTTCTGCCGGGGCACCGGCGATCAGATACGCCACCGCGGCAGCGGTATTGGTAGGCGCTGCAGGCTGGCGCGGCGGTGAGGAAATCGTAATAACAATACTTATAATAGTGATAGTAACGGTTACAAACGCCAATACCGAAAACGTTATATTATTTAATAATAATATAACGTGTATTATATTGTACTGTCGCGCGTTTCATAACGGCGACGGGTGCGGGACGTGTGCCCGTCGAGGCCGCTGCCGACCGGACTTCCAGATAGTCTATGCTCCGACAACGCGTACGACCGGTCCGCGAGAGACACAGGAAAACCGAACAGCATACCGTACGAAGCAATCAGCCCGACCGCGCGATATCACACTATGGTCCTGAAGTTCATACTCGTGTACTTTGTCACCGCCGCCGCCGCTGCCGCCGCCGTCTCGTCTGATCGTCGTCCGCTGGACATGACCGCGACCAAGATCGAGATGACACCTAACAACACGATTCAAGTGAGCCTCTGCTGAAGAAGATTAATTTTTATCCGGTTTGCCGATCGTTCGGTTGACTCTGCGACATATTATAATATATTATATTATACGCGTGGTTTTTTCCCCGTCGAAAATCGTTTCAAAACGATAAATAATACTTACATACATAATAACAACGGTTATTTAAATGTTGTTCACGTATTATCCGTGCCCATCACATAATGTGACGTTTTAATACGATTTTGATTTTTTTTTTGATTTTAAATTCTTGAACGGTATAAACGGTTATTTTGCGAGTCTGAGGAGGTTTTAAAATACTATAAATGCTTAGACAAATAAATTAGTAATATTAATGTAATATAACCGAAATCGGTTTAATTAAAAAAAATTTTTTTTTCACGACAACAAAATATCACATTATACGTATAGTATTGTAATTATACTATTATTGGGTCATTTAAAATAGTTAATTTTTTCTTGATTTTAACAGCGTACAAAACGGTTTAGATTCAATACATTGAAAATAAATACATATCTTATGGTTACTTATACCTGCAGTACTCAATAGTTTACATTTCTTGTACAACAGATTTTTATTTGACAAATTCAATACATTATTTTGAAAATTAAACGAGAGCTTTCGAAACAAATTGTACTAATCATATTTAAGCTAAATCCAAGAAAATAAATAATAATAAAAAGCGTAACTGTATATTTGTACATTTTGTTATATAATGTTGAAGAGTAACGCATGTTTATATATAATATATATATTATATATTTATTATTTACGTCCCAAGGCCTAATGTATAACTTGGCGCGAAATCAAACATTTAAAAAATATATTATAATGATGGCCTTTATTTACTAAATGTTAATATCTATCAGTTTGTTAGTAAATGCAAGAAAATATACCTTAATACAAACTGTATGAAACAATTACAAAAACAATACAATTTGAGTAATACATTTTTTTTATATATTTAATATTTACACATATTTTAAAAGAAATTATATTTGATAATAATTTAATGATTAATCAAACTTTTTTTGAATAGTTTAATAAACACATGAATTTCTCCGTACGACCGTACCACCCAGATATGCTAACAAAATAATGATTTAAGTTTATGGTATTTTGTTTTTTATATAATTATTATCAACTTCGAAATGTTAAATTATTTTAGCAAAATATTTTAATTTGGCGCTCAAACAGCATATACGATTACAGTTCTTTATAAATCGTTTCATGTAAAATTTTCCTACGCTCTAAATGACCGTAACCTCAAATTATGGGCTCAGACCTAAATCTTTACAAAGATCGTCTTTTCTTGGCCAAGAAAAGTCGTATTATTAAATTCATATAAATACACGAATATTTACATTTTGTTAAAGTCATTTTATATTTGAAATAGAAGTATTAATAATTAAAGTTAATATAAAATATATTATACTGATAATTAAATTATTCATGAACTAATAGGTGCCTAAATAAATTAAAAACAATACTGATGATTGGATTTTATAGTATACAAAGTTGTGCGATAATCATGATTTATGATTAATTAAGCCATGTTAATAATGTATGATACATAGATGATCAATCTGTATAAAAAAGTTTTTAAATATTATTTAATGATTTATATGGCAAAAAATATATAGTAATTGTTATGAGTACTGAAATATAAACAGCATTTTAGAAAAAATATGCGAAGGGATTGGAAACATCTAGAGAAATAGTAAGTGGAATAAGCTACCGAGTGAAAACTACCTAGTTTATAATAAAAATGTTTAAATATCTGCAGTACATGATTTTTAGTTTTTTTATTCCTACATAAATCGTCCTATATTCACAAACGTTTATTTATAACGTCAAATGTCTTTTAATACAATATCAAGTGTTAGTATTAAAATTTATAACGTTAACTGAATCGTCTGAATCTACATATAAGTTATTTTTATCATCACCATTGGTAAAATATTAGAATTAGAAAAATAAAACAATTTTCTCACGCTAATACATTCAAGTATTAAATACTTTAAACGTACAAAAATAACTACCTTTTAATTATAAATAGTATTTTATTTTTTATATTATTAATATTTTTTCAATTTTCACTTTCACCCTAATAATTATTAATAATACATATGATTATAGGCTTTATAGGCTTTATTATGCTCTACATATCATATAGACTAGTGATACTTAGTTAATGTTTGCACCACTCTAGTTGTGATTTTGAAGTTTTATATTTTGTTGTAATATTCAATTTGATATGGAACAAAATATAGATACGTCAAGAAATTGTCATTTTTTAAACAACATAGCAGTTACTACAATGACAACAAGTAAAATGTGAGTAAATACCATAAATCCAGAAAATGAATCGATTCGTTAAGTATAACTAAATAAGTACCTACATAGATGTTGTGCAATAAAATATTATTATTTGTAAAAATAGATTTGTTACTGTGCTCAACGATTGTCATGAGAAATATTATAGCCAATAAAATATTTTTATAAATTACAAGATTAAATGTCATTCGTTAAAAATGCATTTATCAATAACATATACACGTGCATAAATATAATATATTAATAATTACATTTTTTTCGTCTTATAACATAAGATAATTTTCAATAAAAAATGTACATAAATTTAATATAGTATGTTAATATTATGTGGTATTTATTATTTCAGTACTTGCAGTTTGAAGATTTATCATTCAATCTAACGGATTTCACGATCTGCACGTGGATAAAACTGTTGAATTTCACACATTCGCAAACCATAATACGCCTTACAGGTAAATCAATTAATACTCAAAATATCATTTAAAAACCGAAATCCGATTAAATTTATTATCCTAAAACCTATAAAATTAAATTCAATATTTCAGAAATTGATTCTGAATGAGATCAATATATCGTGAAGCATGT